TCGTCCTTAGCGCAGTGCATTGAACGGCGGAGTTGGAAATATGCGGGGTTCGTTTCACCTTTTAAAATAGCCCCGAGCTTTTTGCCCGTAACTTTACTAGATCGTCGTTGGAATGTTTACGATGAATCATTTGCACGACTAATGCGTTTTGAAAATTGAGTTGACACGCATTTTAACGATTATAATACGTTACCGCATTGCTTGTTGTATTGAAAAGTTGAATAATAGTACGTGGAATGCAACTGTTATCTGTGCTGAACAGCGAATTTGAATTTAAACCAAATGTTACCAGTAATAAAACTTCGAACCCGACAATTAAATTTGCGCAAACTATTTTTCCACATTTCTCTCTTCCAAAATATATAGCATGTTTCCATGTTACTGCGTTGAGAACCCCGTCAACTCAGAATTTTAAACTGGTGCGTGACGTGTAATCTGTGTAAACTTTTCATATTAACCTATGGGCTGATGTGTTTTGATTGATAAATGGTAGACAAAAAACAATCCTTGGGTAAAGAATTTAAATTACGAGCATACATAATGCAACAATAAAGCACGGTCGCAGACGCCAATTCCTGATATATATATATATATATACAAGGCGTGTTTTATGGTCCTTCCCCCAAACTCTTTCCGGCCGTCATGCACTACTAAATCTTATGATGCAATTATATTTCATGGGGTAAAGTATTTAAATTGCGAGCATACACAATGTAACAAAAAAGCACGGTCGCAGACGCCAATTCCTGATATATATATAGCGCTTTTTATGGACCTTCTCCCAAACTCTTTTCGGCCGTCATGCACGACTAAATCTTATGATGCAATTATATTTTGGGTTTCTCCAGGTCAACACCTAGTGACTAACCAAAAGAGAATATATCACCGTCTTTATTATTTTCGCTAACAGAGTAGGATAACATGTTTAAAATCAAAAAATGAATTGTACGAATCTGCATTGCAATTGAAAAAATATTTACATCATCGAAACTATAGCACCATTGTAAAAGTAATTAAAAGAAATTCATAACTGGAGACCGATTTTGAGTCACCATTGCCAACGTCCTTAAAATATACGAAGAACAAATGCAAATACCGTGGTAGCGTCGTGGACTAATGGTACAGATACGCCAGAAATTATCACAAAAACAACAAAAAATAGTCAATAGTGGACAAAAAATAGTTTCATCACTTGTCCTTTCCATGAATCCAATAAATATTAAATTTCGCTTATATTCAAAATTTGAAGCTTTTTAATCTCAAGTTTATTGTTGGATAACAGATGTTCTAGCATATTACTCATATACAAGATCATTGTTCACTGGAAGTGTAAACTGTATAATGGATCTTTTGTATCGTGTACGAATACATTATACATGAAAGAACATTGGTTTAGTTGGGGCGAATCTCTATACTGCTTTTGTGTTTGTAGAACCTCTATCATTAGAGATGTAGAGTCAAAAATGAAGAGAACATGAGAAAAAACTTCATACAAGTTATTTTGGGAATATATATATGATCATTATACACTAGTTTTGTGAAATATGTTGAAATTGAGGCATGTTTTCAAGCATAAATTTTGGCGATTCCTCACATTTTAGTGTGAGTGTCGGCTACATGTTTCTTCAACAGTAACTAACACATTGTCTTTTTAAATTTTGATAACGAAACTTTACACCCTTTTTTGGATATTTGTCACTTATACCACATTGAGCCTACAGCCTGTCAAACTTTTTGAAATCCATGTCAATCTTGTTAATGGCCATACCAACCATAGGCAAGTTTTCGTTTCCAGATATTCGAAAAGGGTAAACATCCTGACACAAATTCTCATTTTTTTTCTGAAGTTGTACATCGTATTGACTTCTGGTCGTAACAGGATCACAGTAATAAACAAGAGAGCTATGCTCAAATATATGGACACGTTGTGTCACATAGTGGCAAATTTTGATGGACATAACACACAAATAACGATGAATAAAAGTAATAGCCTTTTAGCGAAAAATATAATCTTTACTCACTGAAAATTTCAAAGCAATTGGTCCAGTATTTGAAGAGAAAAGCGACTTTATAATGATGACGAAAAATAGCAACAAGAACAACAACAAAATATTGAAACGATCTTTATGTTCACTAAACGTGTCCATTAACGATTCAATTTGTGATGCTATCAAGATGTCGCAACATCATCTTAAATACCTCATGCCGCGAACAAAATCAACCGACCCAAATGTAAAAAAGATCCATTTTTTGAAATCTCGCGCCCCCAGGATATGCTCAAATACTAAATGGCTTGTAGTGTTTTTATGGTCACAAATTTTTAATACAAAAGAATCATTTTACATAACATTTATTTCGCCAGTAATTACTTCAAAGTAAGAAAGCTGCGCTTGTCTGCCATCAGCGAGTTACTTAAGCACAATAGATGCCAAGTTTTTATGCTGTGATGCTTCCCACATATACTACTACTGAGTAACACTTCAATACCAAGCATGAAACAGGCAAGAAAATTTACTAGAAAGTAAAATCAATAACTTCAAAGTTTTAGTTATAAAAACAAGCGACCCAGGGGTATTCTCAGGAGACCCAGTTTTGGGTCGTGACCCATGAGTTGGAAAACACTGCTATAGCCTACAAAAACATACAACAATTCATAAGGAGGCATTTGTTTAATTGTTTTCTTTATCCCAGAGTGGGTGATCCCTTGTGTACGGTTGTCAGCAAAAGGAGAAACATTCATTTTCCGAAAATTTATTGGATTTCAGTGTTAATTCAGTCACCAAGGCGGATAATATATACGTAACAATGTCATCTAAAATAATAAGAATCCGTGCTATGTGGTTTTAACTAAAGCACAGTTTTTGCGTGTGTCATGTTTTATATCACCATGCCGTTTCATCGGCGTTTGGTAATATTCTGAATACTATGCTTATAATATTTGCATTGTATGTATGTACCTTTAGGGCAACGAAATGGCGAAAGAAGAGATCAAGGCATGTTGTGCAAGAAATAAGTGTGTTTATTCAGACAATCAGTACATTGGCCTAACGGTCTCCTTCATCACCGGTGTTGTAATATTCCTGAAGATGAATGAGGTAAGTTGTTCACTAGATTCGATACAAAAATGAATTATTTTATGGTTTTTAATATATAAGCAACAGAGAGTTTCAAAATAGGGACTGGAGCAATATGTGGATGGTATAACTCCGTCAGCATCTCTGTTATTTTTGTATTTTATTCTCTGGTAATGTGTGCGGTTGCTTATTGAAATAACCACAAATGAAAATTTTATATCATTTTCTATATAAGACGCTATATAAGCCAGCATTTGCGAAATATATTAGTCTTGTGCGTCTTTCATGACGAAAAGAGTCTTCACGTGTATAGCTTGGATATTGTAGCGTAGGCTACTATGATTCTGTGTAGTTTGTGTATCGTTTAACTTTAACTCAAACGGTATCTATTTCTCATGCAACTTTTAATGATTTATGGCTTGTCCTCGATAAAAGTTTGTTCCCAGGAATTTACGTTTTTTCTTCTGCATGTCTGTTTGTATGACAACGATAACTTGTATTATTTCATGCCAATCATATCCACTTGCATCTTTCCTGAACTTCCTTCCTGCGTACTTGTCTTGTGTAGTGCCATTTTTGTACATAACGTATAGATAGATCTTGCGACATGATCAAGTTTGCTCAAGTGTTGCTCATCTTTGTTTTATCGTTGTTTGTTAGTTAGAAATGTGGTCTCATCACCTATACTCGCGTTAAGGTTTTAATTGTATTCGGTATCTGTTATTTGGTTCAATTCGATATTGCAACTTTACAATATATATATACGAACATTTGACGTTATAATTCAATATGTGCTTATTTAACCTCTGAAGGAGTCAGTTGGGGTTTACTCCGCTAAAGTACGTTGAATAATACTGGAGAAGAATACCAGATATAAGGACGACCCGTCTTATCCCTACAGTTGAATTAAGTACTTTATATTGTGGGCATAAATAAGTATTATACTATATTTATAATAAGAAACTAAGGAATATTAGTAATAGGCAACTAATACAGCAACTACAAAACAAAAGAGGATTTCCTCTCCGGTTGAGAAACGTGGTTTTAAATTTTCAATTACTAGTAAAACTTCTCCGATAGGATTAAGCTTACTTTTTAAATTTCATCCAAACTTACTTTGTCATATATGATCATGAAATAATTGTACATTAACGTTTAGTAAATAAATAAATATATATCTTTAATATAAAGAAGCAAATCATTAGCCTGTCAACTGATGATTGAAGAAAACAGACGAAATAAACCAAAAAACGAGCGGCAGGCCCAAATGTATGTATACGTAAAAATTGGAAAAATAAAATCAATTAAACTGTATGTCAGGTGTAATTGATTTATATGTTGGACATAATAAGCATTGTCACATTCAAGCTGCAATCCAATTTTCAATCCTGTTTCCAAAAACTGTCGACTTATATGGTGTTGAGGGTTATCTACAGAAACCCATCTATGAAGCATCTGACCAGTAAGCACATTGACTCGTTTGCTACTAGTCGTTGCAATTTTTGGGAATAGGCTCAAATATATTTATAGTAAGTTTTAGACTTGCAGTAATAGAACCTGGGTGTGTGATAGGTAAATCACTCACATCACCATTTGTGTCGTTGCTTGTATTAGGCTTTACGGCTATTCTGATGCTATTTGTGCATCACTAAAAAGCACCAGGATAGCAGATCACTATGTCTCAATGCATTGTTGAACACAAAGACTTAGTTTTGCTTAGTTCAAATTGTTGTAATTCTTTTTGTTGTTTAGATTGTTGGGAAAATCCCTATTTGTTGATTGAAAAGGTATTTTTCGTCACGAAAAAAACTTTTTTGGAAAAAAATAAAAACTCAAATTTCGATTTCCTGGAATGATACTTTATCTCTCTCCCGGTGTGATTATTTGTTTAGTCTGAAAAGTTCATATCGTAGCAAAAAGTACAACTTTCATTTGAATTTTTCAATTTTATTGTATATATAGGCCTTTTTCAATAAAGAATTTCGTGCAGAACAAACCATATGCGTCATAAATTATAGTACCGATATTAAAGACTGCAAAAATAACAGTGCGGCGGCAATGTTTATCGAGTTGTTACCTCCATGTAAATTGCTGTAACAATGATATTAATGAAACACACGTGAGAGCTGACGCCGCACCAACGTAATCCACTAAATTATATTAACAAAGCAAATAAAAAAGATTCAAAAGAGACAATATATACACATGGTTTATATATAAAAGTCATTCAACATCATATATCGATTCTTAGTCAACAATGTTGACAGCAATGTAGATTAGCAACAGAAGACCGATAATAACTCCAACGTTGATTGCCATTTCACGGATTTCTCGAACATCCATTTTCTGAGTAAAATGTATCAAAAATTCACTGTTATAAAATTAGGTACAGTATATATATATGTTTCAAGTATATAAGAATTATAACAAGCTCTTACTTACTTTTGTCACAGACTTTACTGACTATGAATAGACAATGGAGATCAATAAATATCTTCGTCGTTACAACTATAATAAATGTGATAGCTGTCTGAATTATAAAATTTAAATCAAACATTTCGTAACTTAGAGGTAAGTTAATTCATTTAACGAACATAGGACAAGACGGATGGAAAAACAAATTTTGTTTTGGATATCTCATGCTGATGCGATAAGATATTGTTCTAACAATGCAGGATAAGATTTGACCAGTGACCGAGAAAATTGCAACTTTATTGTTAATAGGACTCAAAATGTTTGACGTCATGATCGGCTGCTTGAAATGCATACCGAAATTTGGTAAGTTAAGTTTGACAAAGAGAAAATGGATCAAAAATACTTTAAAGAAATACATTACTTTACTACTATTTTGTTATCGACGGGGAGTTTTTAGCTAGCTATGTTTTTTTTATTTTTATATATGAACTTCTGGTAGTGGAATTTATCTTAGTTGATTCCCCAACATCATTTGTTTTGATTATTCCTTTTATTGCGCCTGTCGTTATCTACTGGCATCTCTCTCGCACTCGCAGGAATAAATTTATACAAGGGGCTTTAGTGGTATGTGGTCCCTTCTATCACCATCAGTACTCTTTCTTTCTTTGTTGATGACTCGCGAACTTACTTTGAGCAAACTTGCGTAAAACAACTGCAACTGATTTAACGGAGTTTCGGGCCTGCTAAACCAGGTTGATGAATACTGGCCTTAAGAAGAAACGGCATTGGGCTTATGGTGTACATATGTTACTTTTTTCATACGCAATGACGCCGAATTGATACTTTCAATTATTTTCAAGTTACGGCATAATGACACAATGTGATTATTTAACGACTACTCTATAACCAATACTTGCTATCCATACCAAGTATAACACTGTTCAATCAATTTCACCTTCAACTATATTCTCAATGTTTCTGAAACTCAACTCACTTAAAATCCATTTTAAATAAAATGATTATATCGCGGATTGATTCGCAAGCTGTTACACAGCCGAATTACACCTTATTTTTGGTAGTATATATATAACCATACAGAATATAATCTTGTTAAAACCTACAAACTGTAAATGACATGTACTGCTGGCTGACTGTCACCAACACATGATCTGCACAATGTCTCAATTGCATTTGGAACTGACAAAAATAGAAATCCATATAACCTTCATTTTAAAGTACGATATATATTTGGGCCAGCTTTAAACAACCAGCCATATGCAATTATGGAACACAGTTCACATATACATTGTACATCATTATACTCTGCAAAGTTAAGATTTAAAATACGCTACTATTATAAAACTCAGTAATGTTATGTTACCTTATACCAGCCACCACTCTTCGATAGGACGAGCTCCATATATATATATAAAGGCACGACAAATTACCATTCGGCATTTTACAGTTTTTTTTATTGCTTCTCTTGACGTGTATCAGGCGCAGTTGTGCCATCTCCTTGGGGATTACACCAAACTGCTTTATATTATTATAAAACCATTAACCTAATCAACTCAAAGCATTGGCGCCGATTATATCTGTAGTCAAACTAGACGGATCAACTCTCTTGTAAATATATTCAAAATATATTCTATTATAGAAAAGTACACTTATCACCTCACGTTCCGCAGCATTTTCTATATATATATATGCTATATTCGCTCAGTCAATAAAAAAATAATAATTTCAAGGAGAAGGCGGAAAGAGGTGCGGGGCTAAATCACATAGAAATGATCCACTTTGACCTTGTCAAGAGCGTATTTGAAAACTCTTTTTCATTGATTTTCTGTAACTGCGAGATCAAAACACCACTTTTATTTATCGGCCCCGACATGACCTGTAATTTCATCGATATACTTTCTAGATTTAGTATCCAGGAAGCTTTACTGTGGAACCATCAGGTATGCACCAGCTAAATGATCTTGTCGCAAACAAACCAAAAACACGTGAATATGTTCTGTTACATCGAAAAGCGGCCGTACATTTTCTACACTTTCGGGTTCATCGTTATCCTGAAAAGCCCCGATCTTGTCCTAAGAAGAATTATACTTACAGCATCCCGCTTGGTCACCAGCACAAGTCGGTTATGGAATGAAAATTTTTCAACACGTACCGTTCAAATGCTTGAATGACCTGTTACCGTGAATCGAACCTGCTTTCTGCGTCTGCCGAGTAAGGCCAGTATATAACCAACTAACAAAGTCGTCGACTGTCCATTCCGTCTGCTTTCAGGAAAAAAAATGACTCTTGGAGCACTGGTTATTTAACTTTTTGAGCGCGACCCAAATCTCGAAATAATGTATTCTTAGAGTCATGATCCAGGTTAGGCCATAATTTAAGGTACAAACAAAGTGACAACGTCACTTGGCTAGTCCCCGAACTCGTTATAGAGGGAAAATTGGATTAAAATTATGGCATAACCCTAACCTGGTACACATACTACGTTTCGGTGTCCGCCATCTTGGTTCACAATGCACATACTAAGGGAGCGCCCACTATTACAACATGATCAAGAGATGATTCGATATTGTTGCACAATTTTATTGCTTCAGTAGAATAAACCTTGAATGTCTACATTTATGTTATGCACCATTACACACTGGTACAAACATTGCACAAAACAACGATCGCTTGCAGCAATTTGATAAAGCATACAGTTTATTATTTGATAGTTGGAAACAGACAGTTTAAACCAGTGGTTCTCAAATTTTTTTAGTCCCAGAGCCAAATTTCAAACCTCAAAGTTATGAAGAGCCGCACACAAACAAAGCAAAATAGCAACAACCCTTAAGCGCGTATTCAAAATATTAATGTCATCACAACAACAACACACGTAACAACTAGGGATGGATAAAATATTCGAATGGCATTTTACTATTCGAATGTCCGGTACCACGTGACCTGCGCCGCTCTGCTTGGACACCGAATTCGCGTGTCTCCAACTCAACCGTGAACTGTGCGAGATTTCCCAACGGCGCTTGCTATCAGAAAAAAAACGACAAATTTGAAAAGTCGTTGTCTTCGCGTTATATGCTTATCTTTGCACTTAACGTATGGTTTCAATTTTATATTTTGCAAAAAAACGTACCGACCGTTCCCTGAATTTAGAAACGTCAAACCAGATTAGGTATTTAAAATAAATTTCCCAGATTTTAAACTCCTCATGATTGGTGACATATCATTGGCCATTTTTTGCATGATCGAACATAAAGTTGATTCAAATTAAATGTTAAAATGACTTTTCGGCGTTTCATTGTGAAAAAGGCGATTTTAGGTCGTTAGAAAACTCTAGTTATATAATAAGCATGGATTTAAAAATGACCAAAAGTTTTTCCAAAAGTTGGTATGAGTTATTTGTATGAAAAACACTAAGTTGTAACCAGATAAGAAATGTCGTGTCCTACTCCATTTAAAGCACTTTGTATTAGCTCTTTAGTGATCCCTTCCATGCTTGGCCAAGATATGTTTCGAATATGTAAACATTTTACTCGACCATGCATGGCCGTTGAGCCAAGAGTAGAACGTAAAATCAATCGTGAATTTCGTTGTCACAATGCACACTGCCTCGTACACGAATTGTTGCGTCTATTATCATCCAAATTGATTGTTTGCAAATTCAAAAATTATAGCCGCAAACGCTTCGATAGACTAGCCTAAAATTAATTATCAGTACCTATAACGGCACATGGTTTATTGTTTTGAATAAAAATGATAGTTTTGTACATGTGAGCCAATTTGTAAATGCAACTCTCCAAAACACTCTCAAAATCAGGGATGAAAATTTTGCATTGATAAAGTATAGGGAGAGTCTTTCAGGGGTTAAGGGTCGGGGAAACGTCCATTGAACTTTATATTACCAATCGATATATACATGTACACAGTATGTATTATCACCATTAGCACACATAGTAATAATAAAATTGGAGCTTCGAGAAAAATTATACTAAAACTACATGGAAGGTATGGAACTTCGAGGAAACAGGAGAGAACTAGGTATCATACATGGCCAATGCTAGGAAACACCAAAATTCTTTATATAAAAGCATGAGAATGCCTGATGAATTATCTGAATTAAAATTCTAACAACGAAATAGGAATTAACAACACAAAGAAGTCGCCAAATTTTCAGTAGTTGTCAGCCAGGCTTGGTTTTGTAGTTGGTGTAGTAAAGGCAATAGTCATGAAGTTGAGCTACTTGCTTATCCAAGCATTTATAACCATCTATGGAAGGTCCTCCAATTTCATCCCAGACGGTGCGATCAACAACAGATTGCTGCAAAAAAGTAAAAAAATTTAGAAACAACAGAATTTGACAGTGGGGATTTATGTGTAAGATTAATTGATTTAAAATAATAGTTGGCTTCAATAATTTTTTTGGATTATCAGTTAATGACATGAATTTAGAGTCTCACAAAATCGTTAATGGTGATGGATTCTAGGTATACACTGGTAAATAGTACCCGAACTTTTTTGTATTATCATCATGTAAATAACTACCTTTATGTAAAGAACTCGTGAACATTACCATCATTAAAAAAAATGTAAAATACGACAAAAACATATACAGTGATATCTAGGCTAGTTGATCAAAATTCGTTCAGGATTGGTGTTTGACTACCGATTTGTTTCAGTACCGAAACTTTTTTTGTCATACGATATAATCGTAGTTATTCCAATTCGTTCTTACGCATTCCAAATAAACAAAACGAGTACCTAATCAACAATGATTATTCAAATTTTTTCGTAATAAAGATTAAACCTAATAAAGATAAAAAAAATAAAAAAATTTTCGATCAGTTTACTGTACGTTTGAGCAATTTTTTGGTCTACTACCGAATTGAGTATCGAGACGTTCAACTACCGAGGTATCAATGTACATAGTTCATTCAACAAATTTTTATCTATATGAATTGCTTATTCATTAGAAATAGGTCGTATCGTTTATTTCCTGTCCTAATCTCTACTCAAGACTACACAGAGCACAACTCAATTTTTAACTCACATAGTTAACAAACAATGTCATAGTAAATCTTCCAGGCTTAAATATCTCAACAATCATTCCAATCAGTTTCGAAAAAAGCTTCTTAGAAATATTGGTTTCGAAACTAACATAAGAAAACTCAGGTTCTGGTGTCACATGAATTGTCCAATAACGATTCTGAAAAATGAAGATTGTTAACTGATCAGTTTGTGTTGAGGTTGCCATGGATATGGACCACAGTCTGAAATTGTACAAGTGGGAAAGGATTTACGAATTTATCCAGGGCGGTGGGCAGGGAGGAAAGACGAAAGGATGGCATATTCATATGACGAACCACAGCCTCTCATCCTGTTACCAGTCCAGGTTTGGTATGGGATTAGTTAGTCGGTTATTTGTTTCCGGAAGCATGGACTTGCTGGTGGAGGAAGCCATAACCGTCAGCGGTTACGTGAACCCCACTACGGAGGCGAGGAGTCTAGCAATCCTCTCACACATGATCATTCTCACATGGGATTTGAACCAGCGCACCCACGCAGGATAATCAGAGATGCGGCGGCAAGCGTATTCCTTACGCTTAGCACCATGTGCTACACCGCCTAGTAGCATCGAAGTTCGAAAAAGTAATATTCAACAAAACAGAATTGACATCAGAAAGGTTTTCTTAGCAATTTAATGAATGTGCCCTTACTACATTACATTTTCCTCTTGACTTAAACTTTAAAACACTCTTTTTATTAAGCATTTCGTTGACATGAAGGCAATGAATATTATAAACTGGGATATCCACAAAAGAACCATTCGATACATAAAATTGAGTCCTAATCCATTTCAGATAAAGCGAGTGCCTAATTCTAAGTGCTAATTTCAGTCTATCCTTGTAACTAGGTTTGAAATGGTTTAAAAAAAACTATACTTTTTCCAGTAATCCATTCATTGAGAATCCACATGGTTCAAAAAATTCAGCACTTATCTGAGATCCTGGTATGAGATCTGAAATACCACTTTCCTGGAAAAATATTTCTGTATTAAAATTTCGACCTAAAATCTTATTATCTCATATGTTATTTGTACATTGAATTAGGAATAAAACATAGGATAAATAAAAAAAATGATCAAATGATGGTGGAAATGAAATTTACTATTTCAAATTTATTTTGAATATAAAACACAAATATTTTAAATTAATAGAAAATCGTGAAAACTATGAAATCACATAAAAGCTTGCAATTTCTTTTGTTTTGACTAATTTTCTCTGTTATTGCGCAAAACCTGAATTTTGAAACTTACCCTTGAAAAAACATCAGGAGACTTGGCAACACCTTTTTTATCGTATTTATTGAACATCTTCATGACATCTGGGTCCAGATCAACCATTAGTATTTCCAATGTTTGATCTGGTTCCTGAACACCAACTAATGAATTATTCGATGCATGATTTAATGTATATAGGAACCAACAGTCTCCATTCAATCTACCAAGACAATATGCAGCACTCGATTCTGTTAAAAAATACAGATAGTACAGATACAATATATTTTTGTCCATCTGAGCTTTCTATCCGCATTCCTGTAGTACTAGAACTAGATTGATGTCTGGGAATTAAGAGGTCCCCTTGTCAGCGAAATTTCAATGCTAAAAGTTGATTTTCGAGCACTTTCACAATATGGATTTCCTACTAATCTTTTCCTGGAGATAACTTAAATTGACCCATGTTAATCGATGTCTATCTCCAACAGAGAAAGAATAGGGAGTCTAGTGGTAACTCAAACTTTCCTATTCAGCAATCTTTCAAATTTTAGTTCTAAGCAGAATACTAGCATAATATGTAAATGAATAGTTTTGATTTATTTGGTATTATTATTCCGTGATTAAACCTTTATTAGATTACTTTTAAAATAAAAACAGTGCAATTGTCTCAGAAAACTACGACTTTGGGTAATCATTGAACATCTTTCTGTGAAAACACATACATGGAGAAAGGAAAAAAAAACTGTCTAACCTTTGATTTCATTGTCAAGAAACATAACTTCTTGTTGGAACGTTTTATGAATGTGAGGTTGACGATCAGGTTTCATGAAATTTTTGCGGGAATAAAAGAAATCCTGTAATTAATTAGTAAGAGTTACCGAAGTCAGGTTTTATTAATGGACGTGTGAATCATATGAACCAAACTACTTGTAATACATTGAAACTACTTTGAATATTTGCAAGCATTCCCGATTCAGACATAAAGTTTGACAATTTTTTTTCGTTTGGTTTTCAGTGCAGCAGGAAATAATATCGTGAATTTGAATTGTTCGGCACTACTTCCTTGAAGTATTGATAAGAGTTGAATGTTATTCAATAAGGATTCTCAATTTTTTTTGATGCAATTTCATCTATAAAAATAATAATGCAACATTTCTATTGTTTGCAGCCATAGTTTTTGAAACTATATCTTGCATTCTCTTTGAATAAAGTAATTAGTGATATCACTATGATTATCATAGGAAATAAACTATCTTACAGCAATTCTATCCAACCCGCATTCAGTTTTTGCAAGTCTGACAATATGAGGAAGTGCTTGCAGACATAATGTTGTACCACAAGTCTTCAGAATCACTCGATTTTTCGAAACAAACAAACTGGATTCACTAGAAAACAAGAGAGCAATGCTCAAATATATTCACACAAAGGTCAAATATGGCTTAAAATCAGTGGTTATCATTCAATCACTAAAGCAATTCATATCTGTGTCTGCATGGGCTTAGCTGAGCACAAAACTTCTTTTCAAAACCCATCCAAAGTATAAAATTATTACAGCAAAACAAGACAAACTAAAACTAACATAATAGCATAGCAACAGCTGCCATACACAGCTAAATATAAAAACAGTAACACAAATATTAATAAATCGGGCGTTCAAACAGTAATAACTTACTTCCTTTCATAACCATTGAATTTACATATTTAGGAAGTTAATCAGCAATTTATGCGATTGATTATTTAATAAATATATTGATGCTATATGGATATACAGGTCCTTCATCCAGGCCTGTTACAAACTATATTACACCATTACCAAAGTAGCACCAAGATGCATCCAACTATTGACTAAAAAACAGTTGAGATAAATTTTAAAGATCTACCGTATTTTACAATAAAGGATATAACTCGCTATGAAAGTTTTCAAATTCGAACCAATTATGCCTGGCCAGACATTCAAGTGTCATCATAGTACCAGCAGTATAATATCTGAACTGTTGTGATGCTTGATGTGATAAATGTCTCAGTCACATTACAAAGCAATATACAGATATAATGTTACCAAATACCTCAGTAGATATGCAGTATGATCATTGTGATGTATCACATCCAAAATTTCACATTTGACACTTTTCAATATTTCCTCCCATTTCTCCCTGAAAATAGATTAAATTACCATGTCACTATACACAATTTCAGATAGGATTAGAAGAAAGATGCAATTACACCAATTTGGTACATAAATCTAAGTATCAGTTTATTTTGACTCCATAACCAATATAATTAGACAATAAAATAATTGATAAAAACAAAATAAATAAAACAGATTGTAGTTCACTCAACCAAAAGTATTATATTTCAAATTAAGTAAAGCATGCACACACACATTCAATCATGAAGACATAATAAAATTAAAAAAAGGAAAAAAACATAAGACATATTACTCATAGTGAAAAAGAAACATTTTTGCCACACCATATTAATAATTTTGCCAAATTCGATCCCGATTTAGTTAACAGGAATGATATATATTGAAAAATATTTCTTAAAAGATAATGTCAAGCTGATTATAGTTGGAGTCTCCTAATGCTGTAATGTTAAATTGAAGTCCAGATTATATCATATATTATGATACTGAGGGAGGGTAATAGGTTATGTGAATATATATACAGATATAGGTTATTATAGGTTAGGGGTCTCAAACTCAATTTACCTGGGGGCCGCCGAGACAGAGCCCTAGTGAGTCCGGGCCGCATCAGGTTTTTCACAATAAAAGCATTAAACTTAAAAAGTTAAATCTTTCTCTTTATTTTTCTATACGCAAAACATGTCAAAAACATAAATGTAAGTAATTCCACGGTAATTAATGGCCCCTTCCCCGAGCATCTACTTGTTTATTCCGTAACATTGGCTAATCAGCAAGACGCAAAAAGTGACGTAACAATAGACTTTTTCGCAAACGCTCAATCACTCAGAAAGATTTTCAGGCATGTTTGTAAACATTACCTCGTTTTTGCATGCTATTTGTTAGTTTTGGGTTGTGTTTCAGAAATTCAAGTATGAATCAAAGAACTCAATGATTCTGATTGCTTGGGCGTCGTAGCTTAATTGCAGTAATCAAAAATTAGTCTAGAAATAGCTGTGATAGACTAGGCCAAACTTCTCCACAGGTACTGTTGAAAAACAGGTTGTAGAATGTTTTGAATCAAAATAATGATGTGAAACACACACCCCAGTTTATAGGCTTCAACTCACGAAGCCACCTCTAAAATAAGCTTCGAGAATTTGCAGGTGAGGTGGTGAGGTATAAGAAAGTTTTCTTTGGGGTCAAAGGTCCATCGAATATCATGCCTACAGGTACGGTACTAGTAGGTTACCGTATCGCATATGCCTTTCGGGGGATAGATTATAAAATATTTTGTTTTCCTCTACTTGTCCTGATCATATATTGAATGCATCAATCATTCTAACCTAGCTGAGTGACTTACGGGCCGCACTAACATTAAACTTTCATACCAAGGCGGGGGCCACAAACTATCGTCCTGCGGGCCGCAATTGGCCCGCGGGCCGCGAGTTTGAGACCCTGTTATAGGTTCTAGCAAGGTTTTCCCATTTGTAGTCCTGGATTATAGACAAGGAAATATGATTGAAGTTGTCGATTACTAGGTTCAGTTCAAATTTATCATAGATGATTTGTCATTCGTTGAAAAGTATAAATTTGGAATATTCCGATAACAATAGTTACCGTAGCTATTCAATTTGCTGATAGAAATCAGTAAACATAGCCCACATGAAGTAAGTCAAAATCAAACATTTACCGTACTGCATAGACCATGTGTATATCTGGAAGCTGCGATTTGCAGTTCACAGATAAAGGATCAAATGAAATAAATATATCAACTTGGACTGATAACAGGACAAGAGGCTGTTTTTCGGCATTTAATTGAGCTGTTTTATGGTCTTTTCTTTGAGATGAATATGTAAATCCTATCCTAAATGAAATCATATTACTGTATTAAACAATAATATCCGAATATTTCGCAGAACACAGCATAAAATGAAATATTGAATGTTAAAGGTATATATTGCAAAAAAAAAAGTTTGATATATTTGGGAACATGGCAAAATTTGACACTAACAGACTAACCTGGAAATACTTCTTGCATCCCCAGACTCGTTGTTGTTCGAGGTTCTGGTAAACCAGATCTCCATAAGCTTTTCAACTCCCTCAAAGAAATGATCTCCTTCTCCATTCATCTTTCAATCTTGTGGATTGTAAATTTCACAGCAAAATCCCTCCTAATTGGAACTATGCCCAAAGCCGCAAGGCCCACCACCTTGCCGTTGATTAAATTTGAGATCGTCGTACTGCTGCCTACCACGGGAGTACCACTGTGAAGCTAGTAGCACGGTGACCTTTGTATGCGACCAGGCGAAAAGGTCAAATATCGAGGCAGAATTATGGGCGGAGCCAAATTCGCTACACCAAACAAATACGCAAATGGAATTAACAACAACATTACATGGGTATTTGAGAGTTGTTGTAAGCAAAAACTGGGAATTTCATTAATAAGGGAGTGGATGAATGCCTTGGCATCAGATGAAAATGCACGCTGCAAAGCCTGCAATCGATTTGACAAATTTTGCACATTGCGCCATCTCATGGACGTAAAGATTCAATTTTTCCACGCGAAGCTGTGTGGAAGGAGCGTTTATAGAATGATAATGTTAGGTAATGTTAATTATGGATGTTTACCCGAGCACCCATTTCCTCGGCCATGTCCGTAACAATGATCAATCAGCAATAAGTCAACAGTGATGTAACAATTGCAATTCATGCAGTCGCTCAGGCACATCTTTCGCCGGAACAAATTTTCAATTCAAAGGCTCGGCGGTGCGGCTGGCTCATCGTGCTAAGCGTTAGGAATACGCTCGCCACCGCACCTCTGAATGCTCTTCGTGGGTTCGCAGGTTCGAATCGCATGCAAGGATGGTTATGTGCGAGAGGATTGCTGGACTCTTCGCCACCGTAGGGTGGTTCATGTAACCGCTGGTCGGTTACGGCTTCCTCCACAATCAAGTCAATGCTTCCGAAAACAAATAACTAACTAATCTCATACCCGACATGGAAGGGTAACAGGGCGAGAGGGCTGTGGTTCGCCATATAGTTAAGTCGTCTTATCGGCTTTCCTCTCCTCCGGGATAAATATGTAAATCCTATCCTAATCATGCTTGTAAACATTGCATCGATTTCATGGTTTTGCGTGTTATCATTTTTCAGTTTTTAGTTGTGTTTCCAAAAAATAGTTATAAATCAAATAACTTAGTTGTCATTATTATGAGGACCTTTCGTTTAGTTGCAATAATCAAAAATTGATCCAACAAACAGTGGATAGACCGTTTAAATAAAAATGAACAGTAAGAAATGCCTAAATGACCCTGACCCGAAACCAGTCTTCACTGGCACCGGTGTTGCTCGAGAAAAAGACATCTTGCACACTGCAGGTTTGACTAGATCACTGGAGGTTTTAAGGCCAAAAATTGGTATCACCCCTAAGACTATGGAACTCATATGCCCACACCCTATAAACTTGATAGCGGTCCTTGTTTGATTCCAGTCGTGTTAGCATGTCCAAATTGTTACGTAGCCTTATGCTATTTTTTTGCACTTAAAAGTGCATTTGCACGAAGAAAAATCCGCAGAGCGTTTTGCCTTCGTGTTTATTAATACAGTAAATAAATCCTGTGCCCAATCCGGGGAAGAACTGAAACGCCTGGCGGTTAAAGTGTTTTCTGGTTTAGCCCAAAATGTGTTTGTTGCGTTGCTACGTTCAGTATTTCTGGAAGGTTTAGATGTTGATATGAACAGGCACCTTTGTTATCCAGAGTCCGAGTCATTTGAGGAATTGGCAAGGGCAGTAGTAGCGCTTTAAATGCCCGCAAACCGATTATTGCGACACCCTAAAATGTTTACGACGAACCTGAGTGGGAATTCTAAAAACAGCAGCAGTCATGTTGTGATTTATTTGAATAAATTGAGGAAATGCAGGTAGTTTTGAATCAGTTGGTATCCCACAAGTAATGCTCGCCTACGCGTAGCCTGTCATACTTGTGTTGCCTCAGCACCTCGAGCCGTTAGGCCTACTATCCAAATTGGAAAATTTGAACAAAACCAACTTCGGTTACTGTTGATCAATTACCAGGATATTTTTGTCAAGCCTGGGGGTCATGGGAAGGACATCAATACCTAAACATCGAATATGTACAAGATCTGCACAGACTGTTGCTATCTTCCAGGGTCATTTAACCCAGTGTGAGCCCATACAATGCCCCGATCGTGCTTTTCTTCAGAAAAGATGGCATGTGGAGGTTCTGCGTTGACTATAGAAGGCTAAACGAGGTCACCGTAAAAGACACATATGGCCTGCCATGTATATAAGAAATTATGAAACATTGAGAGGGACCGAGAATTTCTCACCGCTCCATTTTGCGAGTTGATACTGGCAGATTAAGTCTGTGAAGAGGTTATACTAAATAATGCTTGATATCAGCCGTCCCGTTTTTTTGCTTCGGGAATATGGTAAGCCTATCTATATGTAAAATTTAGAGTCTAGTACAACGGTGCACAACCTGCGGCCGTAGTACAAATAAGTAGACATTCATGAAAAAATAAGTTTTTTAACCCTCCCTCTCAAATTTTTGGCTTGCTACGCTCTTATGATACTATTCTTTACAACATTCCCGCCATCTTTTACTCTGTCAGCATTTAGCGCATGAATCCATTACTGGATCATTTTGGTCAAAACCATCAATTATAGTTTTCGCTTCTGACATCACCAATATTACCGTTGTTGCTCCGTTAGCCACCGGACGAAACTACACATCAATAATATAAAATCAAGAATTCAGAACGCAGGAAAATTTAGGCGAAGTAACCATTTCACGAAATTATTGGTATATACGTAACGTAGAACTGGTTGCCTATATACATGCCAATGCTTCAGTGGCGTTACAATATGAAGTTGTGACACGTGAAAACTTATATGGGGCAGTCAAGAGCAAGGCCATTTTACAAGTCTATTTCAGTAATTAGGAGATAACACAAAAATATCAAAAATTTTTGCCTGTACGCTCCCTGATTCCTAATTGAAACAGTAAAAACTGTATTTGAACATCACTAAAGTTTGAATACGAGTTTTTGCACAAATTGGGGCCAGTCGAATTACGGATTGCGTGCGCGAAGTCGAACGCAGCGGTCCTCTAGCGTCAAAATAACCCGTTAAATTGAATTGGCGGATTGAATAGAGAACGATAAGTGCAATCATGTGGATAAGATAAAATCTGGCAATCAGCATACCTTTACTTTTGGCGGTCAACTGTGAACCACTGGGCTCTAGAGTCTAAAGTATTTGAACGGTTTTGCCTATACTTATCTTTATTGCTATCTTCAATTCTTTGCCAGCCCACCATATTTGACTGATATCTGGATTGAATCAATTTAGTAGAAATCTGTTCGTTTTATAACGGTATATATCGATGTTGTTGTTAAAGTTTCTTTAGAGGGATTTTTATATTTCTCTGCTGTTCCCAATCTTTTGAAACCGAAACAGGTTACTTATAATATGGGTAACATTGTTTTTTATCGGATTTGGGTTAATTCAATAATAACGAGTATTGCATTCAGTAAATCTGTCTTCATGCTGTTTATTAGTTTGTTTTCGCATAGTTCAATGCACAAATAATTTTTTCAATATCAGCATTTGATTGAGGTACTAACATTGCTTGCGTAGCGCACTCAAAGAGTTCTGAAAATGGATTCCCTCCAAATGTATTTTTAGAAATTCTTAACTTTAGCCCAAAACTTCTTTTTCTGTGTTACTTTCTTACTCAACAAAATTAATGTTTTATACCTGACTTTTTGCCCTGTCAGTAATGCTTTTTAAGGATAGCTGTGTCGTATGTTGCTGACAGATAACAAAGACACGCTTTTTAAAATAGTCAAATTTGCAGGTAGTCTCTGCTTTAGCTGTTTATGAAGAGATACTGGATATAAAAAAAACTTTGGCACCTATGCTTTATATTGCTCTCTTCAGTTTGTGATAAAAATCCCCTGGATTTCATATCAGATACTTTTGGTAATCTAAATACGCATTGGAATAAACACGTGTATTATGTTCGGCATGTGATTTAAATTTTATCAACCTTACATGTAATTAATTCTAAATACTATTCGGTCAACTATCCGACTAATATACATATCGCTTTATTATTTCTCACCATGTAAAATCCAGAGTTCTGGACGTTGAAAAATATATATATAGACTTTATAGCTATTATAATCTACTAGACTCTAAATTTTACACATAGATAGGCTTACCATATTCCCGAAGCAAAAAACGGGACGGCGCCGATTAGACAAGCCAACCTTGGTTCGATTCCAGGGGCATAGTAATAATTTGAACGTTTTCCATACCATTGTGGGTAGATTACGGACATCAAAATTAGCTGTAGTCCTATTAAATTATCCCCTATTGGTGTTTGCTTCAAATAATAGAAATCGTTCAACTTATTAGAAATCTTTCACTTTGTTTTCAGCGTTTTGATGATTCAACGACAGTACAGTTGGATGTTAAATTAACCTAACGCATGGTTCATATTATCGCTATGACACAACAATTTTTCTCTCAATCTAAATTAGTGAAGTGAGTTGCAAATCAGCGGTAAATCGGCTGCCCCCGTTAAAAAAATGGTAATAGTATCAAATAGAAAGTTATTTATAACTGTCATACTGCAAAACCGGGACATTCAAGTCTATCCCCGGGACGGCGGAAAACATGCCAAAACCGGAACTGTTTCGCATGGCAATCCGTATTCGTATGGTATGGAAATAGCCAATCCTAATATATTATTAGATATCGACGCTTTTATCTGGCCTTGTTCGGAGCGAAAGGCACGAGTAAGCGTCATATTACATCATTATACAAAAGCCGATAAAAGGGCTTAACCATATGGCGAACCACGGCCTTTCGTCCGGTTACCATTCCATGTCGAATATGGGATTAGTTAGTTATTTTTTTTCGGAAGCATGGACTTAATGGTGGAGGAAGCCGTCACAAACCAGCGGTTACGTGAACCATCCTACGGCGGCGAAGAGTCCAGCAATCCTTTCGCACATAACCATCCCCGCGTCGACTTTACTATACACGGGGATAAGTAAATATGTGAATCATATCCAAAATTCACTTTTCACGAAACTAAATTCTGATAAAAGAAGCGCATGGATATGGTAAACTTTCACGGAAACGCTCTCACAGAATTATTTTAAGAAGTCTTCAGCCAACGGAGGCGAGCCTGTTTGTTGTGCGGGATCTTCCATTTACCACACCTGCGTTTCTCGCGATTACCAGTAATTTGCACTGTGCAACGATGGCGTTTAGGTAAGCGAATCACCCAACTTTGTGAGCCCGCCAGCGACGAGGACGCACATCAGTCGGTTCGGCAAAACACTACTTGGCTATGATTAAGTTGATTTGGGGTCGGGTTAACTGTAAGTACAGGAAATTAGTAAATCAAAAGTTTTATCTCTGGGGGAAAACGTACTCTAGGTCAAGTCGCGAACCATCACAATTCTGCCCAGTACTATTGGTACATATAAACAAAACTACATTCAGAATTTTATGTTCATTTATTTTGGCAACCAGGCTATATATATATATTACAACAAAAATACAACTAGCTACTTCAACTTCATTCGAATTTTGCTAAGTTTTGACAACTAGCCATCTCAGACCTAAAAACATATTTGGAGTGAGTTGTTTAACTCAAAATGGCGCTTGTGGTATTTTTCTTGCAATATACGCTGTTGAATTAAATGATATACAAAAGATAGATAGATATACATGAAAAGGGTACAAAAATTGAGGTTCAAAAATTCAATAAAAGCGTAGCCTGGAGTACACTTGAATCAATTATAAAACAGGTAGAAAAGAACAAGCAACGGCAAAAAATAGGATTAGTACAACAAATCTATATTAATAGGAAATAATTATTAGTGAAAACATAATACATTAGTATAATACACAGAGAATATATGAAAGGCACTAAAATTGAAATAAAAAAAATTACAGCACCATTATTTGTGGAGAAAGTTGATATATGAAGTTCAAAATTGCTACCAATTTAGGTAAATAGGCAATGCGATATTTACTCTAGAATGGAAAGTTTTTAACTCAGGTATCAAAAGTTATTGAGAAGATGAAATCTTTCGTATTTTACATACAGTGAACCATATACAAGATCGGTATGCTGCATGCGTTTAGAGAATAATGCTTAAGAAATCACACAAAGCAAAATAACACAATAGATATGTTCATAATAAGAGAACAGAATAAAAATACTAATAGGCAGACATTGTGACAAGGCATGAGGTGTAGAAAAATACAGTTAATATTGAAATTTGAAAACATCCTTTTATCAATGTCTTACTGGTATCAGTTTTAGAGCTTAATTTTGACGGTCAAGCTGAAGTTAGCCAGAGACTAGACAATAATTACTAATTGAGTGAAGTAAGGGATGACAAGAATAGCACCAATAAATACTCCATTGGTAATGGGATTAAAATACAATACAAACGTTGTATAGAAAACAGTTTCATTAGCCCTTAAAATGTATTGCATCACAACAAATAAATCCAATTCTAATTGAAGACCAAAATAAAGAAAAATTGTTCAGTGGAAATAATGAAATAATTCGATTGACACACTTTAAATCAAATAGGAAAAAATCTGTACGACTACCATCTCTGAAACAATTTTAATTTTTGAAAGAACAATGCTGAATAATTTTTACACTCATATTATTTATTTCATGTGTATGAAAAATGTCTTTATGACTGTTTATTTTCTCATTCTGGTTGATAATGCGTGACTAAATAAATGTATAGCAACTAAGAATATAAAATTGACATAAATTGGCTTACACATCACAGAATACCATGGGGGCTTTCTGAAAATGCAAGAATTTCCACAGATTTTTTTTTAACATATCATGTAAAATTGGGAAATTTCAAATAAACTGACTTAAAATACATGGTCGTTGAATTATTAAAATTCGAATTGCTTATTTCCTTACTGAATAAGCCATTGGCATATGATGCAATCCTGCAAAAAACCACTGTAAGCAAACAGGAAAACTTTCTGAGTAGTCTCCTTTGTTCAGGATAAAGTCAAGATATCCAAATTTTAATTAAAAGTAGACTTCCATTAGCTCTTAGAACACGACATGGTCTGCACCTTGTTATTTTAAAAGAAAACATAGCGGGAAGTTGCTATGCTCAACTAAGCATGTTCTTCAACTGAATCCCTTCTGAAAATTATTCAGTCATAACCCATGGTTGATAGAGCTTAAATTTCTTTGTGATTTCTGAAGTGGGAAGTATCGCCAAATACCACAATATCATTGTTGCACAACAGGCAAGTAAAAGCAGGTTACACATGGCCGAAATTTTGGTATAAACAATTTTTGTGGCCATGTTATTCAAAAAACACTAAAAAGTATAAATACCAAATCCATAATGAAATTTCCATATTTGGATGAATGTAAACAATGATATTTACTATCTTAAAACATTGACTGTGTATAATAATAGGAATATCCAAAAAGTGAGCGATGAAAAAAAATCATCTGAAATTAATGCTACTTGAAAGAGTATTATTGTTCCTGTAATCAAATCTTAACATCAATTTTATGGCGCAAAATTTAATATTTATCATCCTATGTATGCAAAATACAACAATTCAGAATATTCCAAACGAATTGCAAAGCAAATTTCATATCAACGTTTTAGGATAATGACACCCAAATTAAGTCACATCAAAAAAACCTGAGGTTAGCATCTCATAACTGTCAACTGTATTGACATGAATAATGTGTGAGTATAAATTAACAATGGTTTGATTCAAAAAACAACCTTCGGGTGCATAAAATAACTCAGCAGTAAATATTATAGTCCACCAAAGGCTTAAGCTAACCAGGCTTCAAAATGAAACACAATCAACTTTCTATCAATTACAAAATTTTTTCAACTAATAGCACATGATTTGCTTGTTCATAAAATGAATTTCAAAACGAGGAAAATGAGAAAAGGAATAAAAATTACAGAAAGAAATAAAAATGTACCATATCTCATTGATTATTATTTAAAATACTGTGGCATATGAAAAAGATATCTACAAAGTCATTGTAATGAATGATTATTTCAATTCGATAAACAATAAAACTATACAGCATGTAGTTATATCTTGCACACATGATTAGATTTCTCAGTGTGTGGTTATAGGTAGATAACATTGTACCATTAGCACATGGAAAAGTTTTTGAAAAAAATCATCATAATTATTTCCAGACTGAATGACATGTTTAGCTTAATAATAAGCCGTTTAATAAGGAACATGATGGACCCTAAGATTTTAAAAAAATGAAATAAGAATACAAAGGTAGTATACCAATGTCTTGGGTAAGATTGATATATTAAAACTGCTTCAAGCAGTTGATGAAATATTGAAGAAGTTCATGGCACATATAATAAAAGTATTCAAATATATCCCAAAATCCCTTTATGATCAACTTCAAGTCATCTCATTCAACTCCAAGTTACCAGGGAAAATAAAGTCCATCCTCCTGCATGTGCCTTATTTGTATTCCAAAAAGAATAATTAAAGATCGGAAGTCTGATGTGAATTTTTTCAACTCCATAGCATTGGTTTCAAAAAATAGATGAGAGAAGTGATTTGGTTTCTGGTAATATTTGGAATATGTTCGGCGATGTTTTGCTTTATTTTTAATATAGTTTCCGTACTACTAATCTCTTTTTCTTGTATGTTCTATTCAAATGAATAGATAAAACATAAAAGAAAAAGACACTAAATTGTTTGTTCACCCATTCTGTAAAAGAAATGAGACAAGGTACACAATACTGTAAGTGAAATTGTGACAGTGGATGCTGCTGATGTCGTAGTGACAGGTTTATCTGTTGCTCTACCGGCTGTAGATGAAACAGCAGTATTTTTAGAACCGTGCGGTATTTCAAAAATTTCCAACAGAATCTGTTGCTCTGATCTATTCAAATTTCCAAAACTTCCCAGATCTACCTCTGTAAAATCTGGAGTTTCTGGTTGCAACTGAGGATGCTTCATAACACGAGATTTGATATCTTTCAGAGTCGCTCGTAACGATATTTTTTTGCCAAGTGCATGTCTTATTAGTTTGATCTCACGTTCTTCAAGATCCTTCATCTTTTTATTTTTTGTTTTCTTTGGGGTTGAAGCATTTTCAGACTCATCAATTTTGGGTTTCTCATTACCATTTGATTCATCAGCAGATCCGTCGCCTGAATAATCAGCCATATCAAGACCAACATTCCCAGTTGGTAGCTCGAGATCTACAAAAGCTGGATCGATGCCCCGATGTGCGTGCCATAATTTTGCCGTGACTTCTCTCAGATTAACGATTTGCTGACGTACAACAATGTCAGGAACTTTAGCAGAATCTCCGTAAATCTCGCTATTGCATAGTCGAGCAGTGGCATTACCATCTACTAAGTTTTCACTTGAAACAGTATCCCCATCCCAACAATCATGCTGTGCAACAAGCTCTGAATTCTCTTCGCATATGGTTGCTGGTAAATTTTTCCAGAAATCTTCAGCACTTTTCTGAGCAGTCCTCATTTCATTGACAAGATTTGACAAGCGACTAGGTTCGTTCATTTTTTGGAAGAATTTTCCATACGCTTGTCGTTGTTTTGAAATAGTTATATCCCTGACTCGATGTTTACGGCGCTTATTCTTTCTGCGTTTTCGCGACCTTTTCCTTTTCTTATTTTTCTTTCTCTCTTTAGTTTCTGTGGATCTTTTTCCACGTCGAGGCTTGCCAGATCTTGGCTGTGAAATGCTTGAATCTATGTCAGTATCGAACTTCAGATTTGATAATCCCATCAGATCGAAATTGTCATCTCCCACTTTGGGATCTCCGTTAATAGAATCACTATCTGCATTAGTTTGCATGTTGCCATAAAAACCAGTGAAGTCAAAGTCACCAGTACTTAGTGGATTCATATTATTTTCTGGTGCTCCCATACCAAGCCGCATATTTCCGAATTTCATGTTAGATAAACCAGACAGGTCAAATGACATATTTGAACTTGGGGGTTGACCACATTGTTGAAAAACCGATTCAGAAATAACCTTTTTATTTTCTTGCAACATCATTACTGCTTCTGAAATCTTTACATCGATGGGTGAGAGAACCGATTCAATATCAAATGGACCTACCAAGCGATCAAGAACAGTCATCGATGTATCAAGATACTTGTTCCAGGCCATGTTGAATTCCTTGTCATAATTACACAAACAACCTTGTAGAATATTTAAACAAGCCTTCTTGCAAGGCTTAACGGTGACCAAACCATTACATTTTGAACAACTCATTATTTTTGTGATTAACTTTGCACAATGTGTAGTGGGATAAATTTTTGAAACACTTTGTGAAACACGTTCACCTGTCTTTAATGCTTGAACAAAAGTCCTAGCAGCAATAAATGATCGCTGAATCTGATTGGAAAGTTTTTGGGGAAGGTCGGCAAATGGTCGTATCACATTGAGGTTATCTCCCATGCATTGCATATAATTCTCATTGAGATCGAAACTTGGATTCATTAATTTGAAGACTTGTTGCATGAGTGTGATGAAGAAACTATCAAAGATGTCAGTGAAATCCACAACACCTCCTTCATAATATAATTTTAAATCATCAAAAAACTTCGCAAAAACCTCTGAATTTTCCATATAAATATCCCCGTATGTTTCCTCGAACAAAACATGGAGAGAAGTTTTAGCCGATCCAATCAATTCATGAAAAAACTTGTCAAATTGCTCATGCTTGGCATTCAGCATATTTGTTATTGTTTCAGTCTTTTCTCTAACATTCCTGTTGAACTCAACAGTACTTTCAACACTGAGACGATCTTCCATTGCAGAATTACAACATGTGTAATTTCCTCCGCAAATACTGCCATCCTTTGTCGGTATTGCCTTGTTGGGAACAATTTGTCCAAATCCCTTACCTTCATAAAATAGTTTCACCTCAATGCACGAATCTGAGGCTTCAAGACTTACAGCTCCAGAAATCATGAATAACACTAAGCACCAGGTGAGCATATTTGCTCTTTTCACAATCATTGCTATGCAAATATTATTCTACATAACAGAATATCTATTCCTAGTTTCCTGACAAAGCAAATAAAAATTTAGATAACATTATGACTGACTGGGCTGTTAAAACACCCAGCATTCGACTTTTAATAACACGTTACGAGATAGGTAATATGATGAAGCGATGATATGGAGTGAAAAAATAACTTTTTAATAGTATTCAATAACGTTAGACTAACTTGGTTCATTCATTTTTTTAAGAGAGATTTTTAATCAAAAATCACAAGCTTAATTTATTTAAAACTAAACATCGAGCAGCCAAATCTTTAGACACAATTTACATTGGTCTGAAAGTTCTATTTTGCATACCAATGACATTTCCGCTATTCATAAAGAATTCAATTTCTGCATTAGTTTTTTAACTTGTAAAAATTTTTTTTTCTTGCAATAATGTATGAACTAGTTAAACTTTTACTACTTTTCCATATAGCTAAGATGCATTCATCTCATGATTACGACAAAATATGTATAAAGGTATTAAACTGCGTGCTAATGAATATGAAATAAAACTGAATGAACACGAATGAATAAATAACATTATGGATAAGAATCAGCAAGTTTAGCAACAAAAATTACATAAAGATAAATTTAAAAAAGCAACAAACGTCAGTTGAAAATTTTCATAAGAGTCAAAATGCAGGAACAAATACTTCAATGTAACAAATTACAAAAATTTCAAAATAGATTACAAAAAAAACCTATTTTAGCGAACAGATGACTCAAAATTCATCATATTTAATTCTAAAAGATTGAGCCATATGTAAGTAATGAATACTTTCGTGAAGATATGACTAAAAAGGTGGGAAGCACTCGACATACCCAGGTATGAAGTGTTGGGATAAGACAACAAAACACTCGATAGCATCGTCACTCATCATATCATTAGTCATCTCAGCTTTTGTAAATAAATGTCGATGACGATTGACGAAACAAGATACCTACCCTATTGGGTTGTGATATTGTTAGTATTGTTATTGTTGTAATAATGCTATATAAATTACATTGTGCGGTCAAATATATTTAACTAGTTGTTGTTTTTTGAACACTTGTGAATAATTCCTTCTCTAAAAAACTAGAATTTTTTAAAGAGAAAAATATAGTGAGTATTTAATTTTTCAATATCTTGCATTTATTGTGCACCACTTGTACAAAGATTCCAAATTTCTCTATATATATGTATATAAAAATATTAGAATTTCAAAATATATTAGTTATTAATATAAAAAGATACAAAATACAAAGAGTAGGACTAAATATACCTTCTTACATATTTTACTTGAATTGACCAAAGAAACTAAGATGAACATTTCTGTTACAAACAATACTTTCATGTGTAAACTATTGAAGCATTATGCTCATATAAATAACAATATTAATTTATTAGCATAAAACCTTACTTTTCCAATGTCTATGCCCAAATAACCTTGACCAAATGATGGATCTGAAAACGCTGATTAGTGAAATACAAAAACATGGATCAAAACAGCTACCGGTATATCAATACTTCTTATAAAAAAATCAGTTCAACACGATGAGCTAGATTTACCCAGCAATCCTTATATAGAAAATACCAGACCATAAACCCGTAACACCAGAATCAAACCCAGACTATCATTCGAATGCTGTTGTCAATTCTAGCACTCAATTAGTATGCAATGCAAATCTCCAATACAAAATAGAACAGACAATAATTATATTCCAAGTAATATGTTTCTCTAATGAGACATTTGAAGAACAGAGCATAGATTAAGTAAAAATACCAAAACAATGACATACCAATATGTGTCACCAATTACAAAATGAGATCAATGGGATTCCATAACCTATTTTAATTTAACCTCATGACAGACAAAGCAATATCATTATACTGTACCATACAATTGAACAACTAGAACAAATGAGATTAGTATCAACATGACATCAAATAAAAATTATTGAAGGAAACTTGTAACACCAGGATATTCATTGAATTCACAGCAGGATATTCAATAATGACATGTTAACAGTTAACACAATAGCTGTATCCTCAAAACAAATTTAACTTGGAAAAGCTCATTTCCTTAACCAAATAATGAATAAAAATTCTACAGTTAATTCTTGACATGCAGACTTAATTCGAAAATACCCTTTTTCAGCATTGCCATATTGGTATCAGAACTGACACCAAATGAACTAAGGTAAGTAATACAAACTTTATTTATACAGGTAATTCAATATTTTTACAGTCAGTATAATAAAAGATGAGTATATATCAGGTAGTAATTCTTGATCTCAATTAGAACCAGTTCATGCTTACATAAACCATGTAACAAAACAATGCATTTCTTTATTCTGCTCTAAGAAGAATCTCAAACCAAAGCCAAAAGTGGAAGTAGTGAAACTGATTGACATAAAAGTGGGAATCAATCACATATACATATCTTATATCCTTAGAAGAGATATGAGTAGTTAGCAATTGACATGAACCTTTAAATGGGATAATTCAAGTCAACAGTGACAGGAAACCAATATGTGAGAGGAAATTATTTCCACATGAATGTGATGAGCACTTTAATATCAAGGATACGGCAAAATTTTTGAACTACTCAATGACTTTTGAATATATAAATAATAAAAAAACCAATAATGAGTTTGCCAAAAACATTGATTTGGACAAGTGAACTGGACAACCTTTCTCCGCAAATTTTCAATTTTGTTTATTCCACTCATACACAAAACTTTAAGGTTAAAAACACTAATTTTGTTTTGTTATTACTAGATTGCAACACAAATTGAATCTTGTGTTTGATTATAATATAGAATATGACGAAAAGGAAGGGACTGTGCACAATAGAGGTCATCTTTAACATTAAGCCTAATTTTTGTTCAAAAATTAGTGGCATTAAATACCTGTATATCGACTGTTTTGAATCAATGCTCATTTTCATAATTTTATGCTTGTGAGCGTTGGTCGGAATACTTCGGTCCTGACGTTGTTTGTTTCAGACCTGACCTTACAATAATTGTAAAATTTATCCTTGAAATTGTAAAATTCCATCAGTAAAAGAAAAGTGGTAAAACTTCATATATAATGAATGCATGACTTAGTTTTAAAGGAATTTTCGATTGGAAGTCATATGGTGGCACAATATATGCAAAATTAGACATGTGGTATTGGGCCCCATGAAACAGAAAAATAAAAGAACTAGCCTTTTGTGGGTTCTAACGACTATTGCCATTGGTAGGGTATCGTATATCAAAGATAAAGTTTTCAGACTCATTTCCTTTCAGACTTCATTTTATATTTGATGAAGACAGAAAAATCATGGAAAGATACTTAATGGAGATAATCTATTTTCTTTCTTCACTATTGAATCCGGTCTTACTACTTACTGAATACAGCGCGAAACACCGCAAAGAGCGCAAAACAGAGGGAAACAGCGCAAAACAGTGGGGAAACAGCGCGAAAGAGCGCAAAACAGAGGGACACAGTGTGAAGCAGAAATTTTTTTTGCAATGAGTTCGGGGCACCTTGTTTTGAGTTGGAGTACCACGGCAGCAAATTAAAAATACAAACCAACGTATGTAGCCAGTAATGCTGTAATGGCAGGTCTGCCCCTGCTGGTGACACATTTTGGGTACCATAATTTAGAACATTTTCCATATGGATATGGTTGGCTTTAGGGTTAGGTAAAAAGGGACCTCCAGAAGTATGTGCACCAAGATGGCGCACAACCTGAAAATAGTATGTGTGTGTGTGTGTGTAGCGGATTCAGGTTGTGCGACATATTGCTGCACATACTTCTGGAGTACCAAAAAAGGTAGATAAAATTTCGCATGATGACCTATAATCCGGTACATAACCTTGTAAATATAACGGAAATAGCGCCATAAAACCATGGCCGGGACGCCGTGGTTCTTTCGTGGCAGGAGGTGGTAATGACTGCGTCTCCTGTTTTGCGCTGTTTCCCTCTGTTTTGCGCTGGTTTCCTTCTGTTTCGCGCTGTTTTCCTCTGTTTTGCGGTGTTTTGCGCTCTTTTGTGCTGTTTTGCGCTCTTTGGGGTATTTCGCACTGTATTCAGTAAGTAGTAAGACCCCTATTGAATCTATTGCATTCATTTTGAGTTTGTATCAGAATTTAATCACACATGGCCAGACTGAGTATATGTTTACTGATTTGTGTAAGCGTGTAAAAAGAAACTTAAACGATCTAGAATAGTCTAATTACAGAATTACTAAGTTCACTCTTACAGTATCTTTGCATTATATGCATACGGATAATCTTTTTTTTTTTCAATTTCGTATGTTATTTTTTACTGGATGGAAAAAATAAACTTGACTATGCAGCAATGAATGAGTTACATTGTCGGCAAATGTCTGAACGTGTAGGCTATACCGGTATACAGATGGTGACATGGGGTATTACTACTTACTGAATACAGCGCGAAACACCGCAAAGAGCGCGAAACAGAGGGAAACAGAAGGAAACCAGCGCAAGACAGAGGGAAACAGCGCAAAACAGTAGACGCAGTCATTACCACCTCCTGCCACGAAAGAACCACGGCGCCTCTCGCCATGGTTTCATGGCGCTATTTCCGTTATATTTACAAGGTTATGTACCGGATTATAGGTCATCATGCGAAATTTTATCTACCTTTTTGGTGCTCCAGAAGTATGTGCAGCAATATGTCGCACAACCTGAATCTGCTACACACACACACACATACTATTTTCAGGTTGTGCGCCATCTTGGTGCACATACTTCTGGAGGTCCCTTTTTACCTAACCCTAAAGCCAACCATATCCATATGGAAAATGTTCTAAATTATGGTACCCAAAATGTATCACCGGCAGGGGCAGACCTGCCATTACAGCATTACTGGCTACATATGTTCGTTTGTGTTTTTAATTTGCTGCCGTGGTACTCCAACTCAAAACAAGGTGCCCCGAACTCATTGCAAAATTTTTTTCCGCTTCACACTGTTTCCCTCTGTTTTGCGCTCTTTCCCCACTGTTTTGCGCTGTTTCGCGCGGTATTCAGTAAGTAGTA